TATATATATATATAATTTCAATATAATTTCAATATAAATTCTTTTCAATGTTTTAAAGACACTCATTAGCATTAGTATTAAATTGTTTGTCAATTTAATTTATGTATGATATTACGTATTGTAGCTTCAATTTAGAACTGTTTTGAGACCGACAAATAATTATTAATGTGTAGTTTGCCTGAATTAGATATTGTTAAATTAAAAAAAAATATTATAAGAATTACGATCCGCCCTGATCGAATATGGCCTTTTTTATTATGGCTCATTCATGTTAAACATTTCTTGGTCGATTTACTTAATTTAATTAAGATCGATTTTCACTTAATATAATTAAGATTCTAGATATCTTTCTCTCTGACACAGAATTCTAAAATGCTTATAAAAAAGAATCGATATCGTAATTAAACATAAAATATACACTAAAAAAAATGTTATGATTATATCAACGAGACGTATAAATGATAGTGCATTTTGATGAAATTAAATAGAAGTTTTTATTATCATACCTGATATATTATAACTAGAATGCTGGACTTAAAGATTAAATTTATTTATAATATTTTTTATTGGATCTATAAAAGTGGGTTATGTTCATAAGACGTTCTTTTTACAAAAAGTTATGTTGTTAAATAGTATCATTATCCTGACCTAATTAAATAAATAGTATCATTATCAAGATATATTTAACAGGGAAAAATTAATCATTCTCACTGATAATTTCTAAAGAATTTTGATTTATTCAGTTTTTGATAAACATACTGATTGAATATATCAGATTTCTGCAACAAGATTTTTTGTGCAAAAAATCGAAGATATATTCACACATTTTTGTTGTGCAAAATTGATAAACATTTCTTTTATTTCGATTACAATCAATTCATATCCACATCCACGAATTTTAATCCCGCAATAAAATTCGATTATTGTTATTATCATTACTGATACATTATCATTATCGTTTAAAATTAATTATCAAGAAAATACTATGAGGAATAGATGTCTGAACCTTATCTCAATCTAGTCACCTCAACCTTTTAGTCACGTTGACTAAAAGTGATTACAGATTAAAATTTTATGATTGATTCTAGAATTAATGTGTCAATCATAATAAAGTTAAGTAACTGCGAAAAAAAATTAATTAAATTAAATTTATCTGAGAATTAATAAAACATGATAGGTAGGCAATTATACATTGAAAAATAATTTATAATATTAATTATATTATATGCACAAGATTGTCAAGAGAATCTAATGGATTTGCGTATGCACAGTGTATCCGGACGATGAAATTGAAAAAAAGAACATAAAAATAAATCATAATGGGACGAGCGAGGAGTGCAATGGCGCAAATAATAATTGTCACGAATCAACGGGAAGGGAAATCATCGGTCAGGCCATATGTGCCCAGCAGGGGAGGGAGAACCGAACTCCACTTTGTCCAATGATAAATAACCCAATAAATGTGCTACAGTCTAAATACTAACAGCTATCAAATGTAGTCTCTCATCCCTCGCGAGTGATGCTTACTCCCATAAACAATAATCGTCAAAAATTTTCTGCGCGCATTTTTTCCAATCCGTAATGATTATTAAATAACACGTAACGTTTTTGTACTTCATAAAATGCAAAATGAAAGATCAAATTTAGACATTAAATACAGACAAAAAAGAAATTTAGTAAATTTACTTGAATTATTTTATTAGTTTTGTTAAAGTGACATTTTTTGAGCTGCAAGTCGATACTGGTGTATTATTTTATTAATTAATACAAGAGCATTATTTATATATTTTTATTTTGCATGTTTATAGATTTTTATTTTTTTATTTTTTTTTTATATTCTCAATTATTCTCGATTATTTCTTTCTTTCTAATATATGTACTTGTGTTAAATTAGCGAGAACACGTGCGTCCCGCTATATAAAGGACCGATAATACGCCATCGAGATATCGAAACTGCTGTTTATTTATGTATCGGGTGTGAAATCGCGCGGCCCTAAGTACATCGAAATATTCGAATTTCTCTTTGAAGGAGAACGAGAACGCGCGTACCTGCTCGTACGCAGCTTAGTGAATCACGCGTCGACCGGTAATCCGAATGCGCTCGACTAAACGCCGCCATGTGTACAAACACTGACAGCCGGTCACGCACTTGTTAGTTAAGTTACGAGGGTGCTTAAGCCAGTGACGCAAGGCCCACCTCCTAGCTAATCATGGAAACCCAGTGAACATAGTGCTCGGCAACAACAAAAACACGTGACATCGCGGTGACAAAAATAACGGCGTCTCTCACCTATACATCGAAATTCGAAACCTTGGACTAAGAGATTTTTGTATAAGCTGGATATTTTTAATTCAAGTTCAGAATTGCATTTTTGTGATTTTATCAAACATATCTCTTCACATGATTTTATTCAATGTTTTTTTTTCAAATTTACTTATTTTATTTATTTATTTATTTTATTCATAACTAATTGAAATTGATTTATTTTATTTATAAATAATTTACTTTATATTTAAAAAATAATCTCATTAAAGTAACTTTAAAATTTAAATTATTTAAAAAATAATTACTAAGCAAAGTAAATTATTATTAATTATATTTCGCATCTATCCACATAGAGTACAGTTCATTCCAGCAATACTAGAAACGTTGTAACAATATTCCTACAAACTTTTGTGTAATTACGCTGTATTAGTAATTATTAATAAACAATTGTTTTAGAACATATAATTCTAAATGATAAATCATTATACACGATAAATCATGTGATGCAAACGCGTCTCCATTATACAATAATTAATGCAGTTCTAGCATGATTATGTCGACGATCATCCTGTGAGACTCCACGGCGTCCTACGCCTATGGTGTTATAAGTTGGCAATTCTCCCCTGACCAAGAGTCATTCACGGGGCTAATTGCAGGGGCGGCTTTCCACCCCTATCGTCTAACCCCAAATCATCCCCCGTAATCCATAGGGATTTACACTCGCGATAATTGCATTAGCATTCGATGATTTTTATTGGATCGTCTGGATCGCAATAATGAATCATTTTTGTTCTCCGAAATGTTTGCTGAACTAAAATCGCATTCAATTTGCGACTTTTATCGGATACAAACAAATTTAATAAAGCAATATTTTTAATTGGAAGTTTTCGTTATACAAAAATCAACACGACGACAAAAATGTAATTGCACGCAGTTTTACATGACTTATTCCATATATTTTAATTATGGAATTTTTAATTTATGCATTTTATTATCCTACAAATATTGTTACTCGAATTAATATAATAATATAATAATAATATAATAATATTACTTGTGGTACTATTAAAAATTACAAATTTCTTAAAAAAGATATTTTTTGTAATAGGTTGCGCGGCACAACATGCATTGCTGGGCAAAACCAGAAGGCCTAGGACCGCCTTTACATCTCAACAGCTCCTCGAATTAGAGAAGCAATTCCGACAGAATAAGTATCTCAGCAGACCGAAGAGGTTTGAGGTCGCGACGTCGCTGATGCTCACGGAAACGCAGGTAAATCGAGATAATGATGTTGAACTGCGCATTACCTTTCTCGATATCCCAACTCAATAATGGCCCTGAGCTCGTGAATCATTTCTCGTACGATAAGTATCGCGATTAGCAATTTTTATTACTCACATCCCTAAGCAGAAGAAATGTAATGCGAATCGTGAATCACCTGTAATTCGAGACCTACGATAAAATATGCTGAAATAAAATGTCTTTTATCGATGCCCTATTACAGAAGTCATAAAATACCGAATAGAGAATAATGTAAATTCTATTGTAAATTTTTTTTCCGCTTAACAATTGTAACAATTATCATCAAAATTGTTATGCGAAACCATGAAGAAGTAAAAAAAAAAGATTGTGCTTTTACATAAATTTTACATAAAATCTATTTCCTCTCTCTCGAAAGATATCTTTGCATAATTACATATCCGATTGATAGAATCGCTCGCAGAAATTGTTAAGAAATCGAATCGATAATTTCTTGGGGATAAAGGAGACAGAAGTTGAAATCAAGTTGGAGCTAACGTCGAGAGTTGTCCGACGAGAAGTTGAGCGACGTCGACCGGTAAATAGGGCGAAAATGGAAATTCGCGAGGTTACGGGAGCGCGAGTGCGCGAAAAGGGAAAAAGAAGACCCTCGAAAGAGAGAAAATCCCTTCGAATAATCCGACCCGCCCTTCCTCCATCCGACGCCGTGTGCACGCGAATCCTCTCTCGCATAGTTCAACAACTTAAACATAACTCTGAAGCTTACGAGCCCTGACGGATCGCTCGGCAAACAGACGTGAAAGTCTGAGTTATGGCGGGCTCAGTCGCTGATTTGTTTCGATATTTTACCGATTCCACCTCGCTCCTCGCCTCGGTCTTCTTCGTCCTCCTTCCTCCTCCTTTCCCAGGCCTGTTACCCATTTCACGTCTGAATTCCGCGCTTGCAGAAACGCGATTACCGGCGATTTACCGTCCAAGCGCGAACATTACGACGAAAAGCGTCGACGAAGAACGCGTTTATTTGAAAAGGGCGCGAAAGCTAGCTGTATATCTCCCAATAAATCTCTCTGTATATTGCAATTTTTGTCATTATCAAACCAAGCGAGAAGTAGACATGTGTATGGAGATGCCACATATTCCTAAAAATTGTCGTGTAATATATTATCATTCGTTATCATAAGTTTTATTGCCGGAATTAATAATTATTTTTAATATAAATTTAATTTAAAGATTTATTGTAAATTAATTTAAATTAATTTAATTAATATAAAGATTCACAAAATAAGCATTTAGAGAAAAATTTTTGATAATATAATAAAAGTTTTTGTGTCTCCAATTATATATTGCCATAATTATGCAATATATAATTATTAGGTACTGCTATATAATGTCAATAATAACTACATAATTAAATCATAACAATTGTAACCATTTTTATTATTTTTTTATATTTATTATATTTATTATATTTTTTTTTAATTGTATATTAAGAACTGTAGTAGCTATTTTTTGTACCAACTATATTTGTTGATAGGACTATATATATATTAGTTATTATTATTACTAAATTATTATTATTGTAGTACTAATAATCATACTAATAATTATGGTAATAACATGTATAATATATAAGTATAATCACAAAAATCAAAAATTTTTCTCTTATTGTACTAATTCGACCATTTCTTACGAGATTGAGTACCTACATTTTTCAGTGTTTTATGTATTCTTTCATATTTTCCGCACAATTATTTTCCTTTGTATTCTAAATTCTTGCCAAATCGATTCGACTTGCAATATCATTGCGAATCGAACAATAATTTCCTGAATTAATTAAGGTCTAATATTCGCTAATTATCATGAAATCGCGATCGCAATCGTGATCGTAATAATATGCAAGATCTCTACGCATTAATAATCATCAATGAGAAAAACATCTCCAATGTTTTAGCGCAATCGCAATTGAGATCGTATTATAAATAAATCGATCTCAGCATTCCATGATTCATTGTCGTTCGGTTTTCCATGTACAAGATGTCGATTAATTTCGGCTCGCGAGATAATTTACAACGTGATTTATTCCTCTCTTCCTCGCTCATTCGCTCACTCTTTATCGCTCGTTGGTTTATCGGCGATATAACAAATATTTATTTTCGCGGGCGTCACTCCCTCCCCCCCCCCCTTCTTCCATTTTTTTCGACCGACTCGCTTGTGCCTACAATTCGCACCTTCTCGCCCGCCTTTCCTTCCCTCTCTCTCAAATTCAATTCCCCGTGCTTGTTTACTTCGCGCTCTGAATTATTTGTTAACGCGACGCGAATGATTTATGTAAGTCCCTGTCATAGCGTTTCGTCTATCAAATCATCAAGCTGATCGAAAAGCGATGTCGCCCGCTCTTTACTTATATTTCAAAAGAAATATTTTTATCAAATATTTTTAATCTCTCTCTCTCTCTCTCTCTCTCTCTCTCTCTTTTCTCTCTCTCTCTCTCTCTCTCTCTCTCTCTCTCTCTCTCTCTCTCTCTCCCTCCCTCCTCCCTCCCCCCCTCTCCAAAGGTTATATTATAACGTTCAATTAATATATTTCTCAAATTAAAGTTTTGTCACACAAACAGACGTTTTTTTTTTATTATATTTTCAAGATTTTAATTCATTTTGAGGACATGTGACAAAAGATAATAAAAGATTGAAAAGATTACAATTATGTATTATGTTGCTATTGTATTATGTCACTATTGTATTAATATTGTATTATGTCGCTAAGCTGCGTTTAGAAACTTTATTACCCGAGTGTACCAATATATCATCTCATAATTCATATATCATCTCAGTTGTTTATCAAATGTTAAACATGTATCCTAAAATACATTCATATATACATGAGTGATCACGTATATATGTATATCACTTACATCCCGAAGTTTCTGATATGTATTTTATCGTGACACGATTAGAGAATTCTACAATTATAATCTTATCACACGCGAACTCCTTTTCGGGTAACGAGAATTTGGCAAAACGCTCACAGATTCTCCCATTCGTATTTGTATGAGAAAGCTGCGCTCCTATACGGAGGGTAAAGATATAATACGGTTGGTGTGTCTGGAGGGGATTGGCCCGGGCGCATGATATGTTGTCCGAAAGATTTACATCGTTTTCTTACGATTGGGGAGGAAAAATCGAGTCCCTGTATCTGTCTACCTGATTTACTGTGTCTCGCGGGGTGGCTCACGTGACGTTACCCGTGCTTATAGAGTACGCATTCGCCAAATTAAATCGGGCGTGGATCGAAGAGTCATACCGACAAATCGTCAGTTCTTATAATAAGTACTTTTGCGATTGTTGACAATAGGAAATTGAAATGAAACTAAAAAATCTTTCAACTCATGAACGTATTATGAATTTTTATTATTTATATTTGAAACATAAAAATATCCAAAAAATTATTTTTTAATTTCGATATCTATTAAAATTCGATATCTATGCAAAATAGTTGATATTTGAATTTATAAGATAAAACTAAATGATTGCTTATGACAGAATAATCTATTATCTATAGAATTACATATACTTCATGACTATGAAATAATATTGAAATAAATAAATATAACAATTTTTAATTTTTCCTTCATATTCCAAATAATATTATAAATAATTTTATTATATCGCAATTGTAATATAAATTCTATAATAAATTCAAACGAATATGCGATAAATTCTTTTTTCGCGAATAATATTTCGTAATTATCTAAAATTAAATGCGAGATAAATATGATACTCAGTGTCAAAATATTTTATAAAATATCGTGCGTAATAATTGTTAATTTAAAATCTTATTACAATGTATGTATGTAAATGTATGTTATTCCTTTAATCTATCTCCGCATGAAATCTTCTTAATAAATTCATACGTCGTGAATAACGACATTTACATGATGTACTTTTATTGCAGGTAAAGATCTGGTTTCAAAATCGCCGAATGAAATGGAAGCGCAGTAAGAAGGCACAGCAGGAGGCTCGTTCGAGCGGAAAGGTCGAGGAAGCTGGAAGCACGAGAAGCGCTGAGAGAGACACTGGAAGTGACGTCAGTGTGAATGCACCCGGAACACCAGAGGACTCTAGAGGAACACTCCAGGAAAGTCAGAGGACTGGAACGGATCTCCAAGAACCCTTGTATCGGCCTTATGTCGTCTAAAAAACCGACGAAGGCATTCAACTCCTAGAGAACCAACATTTTTTTAAATTATGCGAATGGGAAACCAACAATGTTCGCATGTAAATATTTCTGCCGTTCATTTCATTTTACGCATAATTATTTCAGGACAGATGCAATAAATTATTTTTTATTTAAATATCAATTTAATTAAAAGACAAACAGAATATACAAGAAAGGAATATTTTTCTTGATAGATTAAGAGAAAATAGATTGTTGGTCCCCTAACGATTAAAAAACTATCAAGCTAATTGTTTCTTGGAATATTAAGTTGTTCAGAGAAAACAACTTATGTTGTTATTTCAGAATCAAGATTAAAGATTCGATTAATAGAACTGTGCGTATTAATTTGACACTGCGCGATTGTGGTTCCTGTATAGAAACTTTTATAGTGAAAAGCAAAAATATCCCGCTTTATTATCGATTGCGATATAATTTTGATAGTCGATTGTGATTGTAAAAATTGTCATGACTTATTATCAAAGATCGAGACGGGTATAATTTTGATTTCTCATGGGTAAAGTGCAGCTTGCGCTCATCTGTGAAAATTATTTTCGTGCATCGAAGTTACATCAAAATTACATCGGTTTCGATGAATGTCGATCTCCGCTTGTTAAACATGGTTTTCTACCGAAAACGAAGATCTCTCGTGTATATATCTCATCTCTATAATTTACTATACCAAAATTCTGATGTAAATAAGTGCGAACGAGACGATATTCACGAACATGATCATTAACGATACCTCGCTTGTTAATCACGGTTATTAGATACACGAATGTCAGTGCTGATCCTAAAAAAGCGTCTTGCTCAAACCAGGGATATTGATTTTATAATCAATTTTTTTATTGCCTGCCGGAGAGATGGCGGACAATAATATAATATTTCGATAAAAGATTTATATATCTGCCGTGATTGTGTGACTTAACGATACCTACACACGTGACAACAAAGATCTACCTTCGAGAGCTTTGAAACATCGAGACGGATTCCATTTAATCTAAATTCATCGTGTATATAGACATCCTAGAGACTATTTATTCTATGTTCGCTCGGCTTGTAAGATAGAGGAGACACCAAGCAGATGCTGGAATCGCGACGTTGTTCACAACGGCGTAAAGAGAAAACAGTAGGATCGTTCCTGATACAGGCGTTACTCGAGTATTGTCTCATACGAGTGCGCGTGCGAGTGAAGAGCATGTATTTATGGCATATGATGTGAGTGTAAATATTATACGCATAGGTTCTAAGTTAGTGAATGCGATGCAGATACACGGTATGATAATATCGCGAGAAGTTCCTAAATAAATTATGAAATCGAGCAAATTCGCTGCGTCCTTCTTTCCCCATGAATATCATTTTCTCCTAATAAACATTAATTTTTAAAATTATTATAAATTAAAACAATCATTTATTTGTTTTCGACATCTGTATCACTTATCTATGATGAGATTATCACTTATCACATTCAATATGAAAATATTAATTACTAAGTACAATTAAGCAATTTTTATTAGAAATTATATTTTTTTTATTTTTAGAAAAAACAATTATTTTTTCAACAGCAATTTTATAGAATTAAATTTTTCTTTCCACATCAGTTATATCTTATCTTTAGACGAACAAATATATCATAATTATCTAACAATGTTTATACATATATTCTTAAAAGTATCATATATTATCTGAGCTGATACATTATTTGAGCTGACATACATTTATTCTAAAATTATTTAAAAATAGTTTATTCCAATGTCAAATAAGAAAAATTTTCTCGGTAAAATAAATCAAATAATTTTCGCAGTAAAAATAAACTAAACTAGTAAATCAATCAAAAAATCCGTCAAGAGACCATAATATCAAATTTTACTTTGCATTTCGAACAATAAATGTTCAGATCCGCTCGTATTCAACCGCGTGTACGAGGGAGCCGGGTCTCATGTTATTTGCATGATGGCCGCTGATTGGTATATGGCTTGTAAATGAGAAGCTTCATCCCCTGACGGGTAACCACCCCCAGATGGTCCTGACTGGTGGGTACTCGATGGAGAACCGAATGGCGTGTTTCGAAAGGCACCCGAAGGAGTAGCGCTGCGCCGCGCTGCGCCATCAGTATTTATGACATGCTAATCCCCAGTTACGAATTCCGCGACATTCCGCGGGATCCGGCAGCAGAGAGCCGCTCATTCGGAAAACGTCATCACTGAGCGAAACAGCACAAGAAAGAGGTAAAGTCATATTTGACGGATGCAGATCGATGACTACTTGCTGCATTCTCCACGCTATCATTTCCTTTTTTCGAGTTTGAAATCCAAAATTGAAAACATTTTTGGACTCACTGTTATAAAAGTGTATATTTACACATTATAAGTTACAATTTAAAAATAAAATTATATACTCCTTTATAGTAATTTTAAATACCTTTTAAAAATAAATAGAAATATTTATTATTTATAGAAATATTTATGTAATAATTTTATGAATTATGTACAATTCTTTAAATATATATTTTTCTATATATTTTGATTATATAAACATAAAAATACCATGTTATATATTACAAAAATGTATACACTTTTAAATAGAAAAAATATATATATAATTTTCTATCTAATATAAAAATATAAAAATATATTTATACAATTTAGGTAAAACTAATTTTTATAAAAACACACTATATATATTTCTATTATAAATTGTATAATTTTACATACTTTTTTGTAATATATAACGTTATGATTGAAGATATCTTAGGTAATTTTTAGTCTTTTTTTTTATTCACAAAAGAACAAATCATTCGAACTAAATTTGATCACTAAACATTATCAAGATTGTACCATGAATGCTCTTCTATATTCGAGTTTTCTCGCTTATACGTATATTTTCTTCATAATTTCGCTGTCGCGCAGATTCATCAGGCGATTTCTCATTCCTATTACTGATTCGATTGCCAAGTTCTCCCCCACCCTCGCTTGTCATATACTATTTCAATTTTTCGTCTTCATCTTTCACTCGTGAAAAATCCATGGCGGAAACAGCTCAAGTAAGTTTCGCCAGGCGTGATTATTTGCGAGGAAAAATCCAAGATTACTCGGACGGGCAAGCAGGACGATCTCGAGAACGTTCTGGCATGGCGCCACATCTCCGTTTACGCCATAGCGCGGTGTGGCGGAAAAAGGAAATGGCCGTAAAATTTTTTTGAGGAATATGCCCGAGAAAGTACGAAGGCACGTTAACGTGACGCTGCAGAGAGAATTAGCATAACGACCAATCTCATTTCGCGTTCTCCGAGTATTCTCTTCTTCTAACACTCGGAGATTTATTCGCGTGTGCCCCGCAATCGTTCGCGCGAACGGAGATTTTGAGAATCGCATTCATAATCACGCGTGCACCCAATAATTATTTTGCATATAAATCGATTTTAATCGCAGAGAACTGGATAGATTATAGTATAGTGCCAGTGATTTACGATATCCAAATGGATAAAAAAACTATTATGCACAAAGCCGCAGATTCATATAAAAATTGACCCAGACGACATCAATTAAAAGTAACATTTATGTTATAATTTCGCACTCTAATATAAATGTTATATAACATATGATGTTATATAACAATTACAGATGGATAAATACAACAGTTAAATACAAATTTGAAAATAATTGTGAAAATAATTGGTTCATTAAAATAATTATGTAGAACGCCTAAACATTGATAATAATGCTGTAAATTTTATCATTTTAGAAATTTATATTTACATAATTATTTTGATGATCCAAACAAAATTATTTTATATCTAGCTAAATCTTTAGATATTTTAGCAAAACTATTCTTTAGATGTAGATAGTCTTTAATTCGCGAAATTGCAATTTACTATTTTTCTATATCATATAAAATTGTAGATAATTACACAAAAGATTGTAGATAATTAATAAATTAATTGATTTCAAGTTTAAACTAGGATAAGTATTCAAAATATATTAATAATTAAGAATAATGTTAATTTTGTTATTTTTATGCAATAAGTATGTATTTATATGTAATTTAAGTAAAATATAATTTCGAAAAAATTTGATCAAATTTATCAAAAGGATAAAGAAATTACGTGAAATTCCTGTTCTGCATTCTGCGATTAAGAAACATTCTGTTCTCTTTTAAGATTTAAGATTATCTTATTAAGATATTTGAAAGAAGACACGTTTCAAGCTTCTGAAAAATAAATTTAATCTTGAAATTACACGTATTGCAAGACCTCTCATAAAGAAGCTCTCATCGCCGCGCTATTCATTTGGCGGACGTTAAATCTCAGTTAACTGATTTCACTCGTATCTCGTAACGGAAGCTCATCCTCATCGAGAAGGAAGTCGAGAGTCGTCGAGGGAGAGGATTTCAAAGACAACGTGCAGGCGGAAGGGAGGTAGTTCGGAGGGACGTGGCGACGACAAGGGTGGGGCACTCATGTTTATATGCATTGTATTGCTAAAACCCTTTTAACTGAATTACATTTAGCGATTCTAGTGCCGCTTCTGTGTCTACGTAACTTTCCCTCCTTCTCCGTCATTCTCGTGCTCCGCCTCGCTCTCTGTCGCCACCTCCGTCTCTCTTTCACACGCTCCGAGATGCGGCGCGTGTCTACGTATGCGAGGAGCTACTCCATCCGCCTTCGGAAGATCCCATACGACGGTGGTGAGCTGATGGCAAGGTTGATGGTGTGGGAAGCGGTGGGCCGATGGATGAGTGGTGAAGGGGGGCTGAGGACGCAGAACGAGCGCGATGGGGCTGGATTCCAAGAGTCGGAGAATGGCATCCCTGAATCCCTGATTCTCTTGGTAAACAAGTGCTTGGGTGATTCACTGCTTGTTCACTCCTATCGGCCGTCGTTTGTTTCTAGACGCCATTGCGTTCTACGATTCTACCTCGTTTTCCGGTCTAATGGATTTTGGGGGCCGTCGAGGGTTGCTTCGAGAGTCCCTCATGTTCCC